CATCACTGCGAAGATTAATTTTCAAACTACAAGGTGCTAAAGAAATGTTACTTACTACTTTAATCAGAAAGTTAGTGTGGGTGCTTCCTACCTTTACAGTTCTCTTTCCAATAACAAAGTCTTGCTCTGTGCCGGTAACAGACATGTCTTGCTCAGTGCTTCAATTAAAAAATTAATAATAATAATAAGCCCTTCAATTTGTATAGCTAATGACAGTTTTTAAACTAATTGTTAAATAATAGGTAAATGATGTAGTAGCTTTATAAAAATCTCTGTGGTAGCCAGAAAAGAAAAATACATAGAAGTACCATTTAAAGATCATCAAAATTACATATATTGTATCTATGTAATTACAAATGCTTGGACAGCACTTCTCACAACACTTGGTATATTATAAGTGGTCAATAATGGTTATTATCAAAATAGAATAATTTTTAGAAAAAAACCTGGAAAAACTGGAATAATTCTATCAAACATTAGTAGTGGATCTATTTATTTCATGGGAAAAAAATTTCACATGGTCTAACAACCACGCTAAGGCAAATTCTGTAATCAAGACCAAAAAGCTCACATAGCTACACTAATAGAAACAAGCAGATCCAGGAATCAAACCCAAGACTTTTTATTCCAAGTTTAGGACTCTTCCTTTGATATTTCTTCATTTCCACTTTCTGCATGTTTGACACAGAAGATTAATTGAATTTAAACTGTTTTTTATACCAGTCTCCTGAGATAGATTCTGGGTGGGTTGAGCAAAGGATAGAGCGAAACATATTCTGAGTATTTTCACAAAGATAATTGTGAATTACTTGACCCCAGCCACCACAGGTAAGTCTTCTCATTTAGAAATAAAAAGAATAAGAATAATAAAAACCCCAACTTCACTTTCACCTCCCCCTGCCTCCTGACCCACTCTAGACCAAGATCCCTTGAGGACATTGTGGTGAAGAGCTACTCATTCCATTAGATCCTACTTCCCAAGACTCCATAGAGTGTCAAGATGTTCTTCTTGGTGTTGTCTTAATGGAGCTCTTCTAAAAACCTACACACGGTTTCTTTAAAGTGTCCTTCATGAGAAGAGCTAATAAGAAAAGGAGGTAAAATTGAAATAAACACTATCTTGCTTTTGTAGCTGTAAGGGTATATGAGCCTCCTCGATAGGCTGAACCAAAGTCCAGTTCCTAATACCCCCGAGTGCATTCATAATGGTTTCAGGTGAACTGGACTACGGATTGAGTTTATGGCAGCTCTTCTCTAATCCCCCTCCTAGCTCCCCTCAATCTATTAGTGCATATTTGTGACACATAACAACTGTCTTCATTATGGGTATTTGGTACATTTATATGACGCATCTCATTTCTTTTTCCATTTCCTTCCCTTCCCATCTGGTATTTTCCTCTTTCTCCATGTATTGCTCCCCTTCCCATTTGCCGTAGATCTATCTCCCTGTTTCCTTTTCCCTTTTATTTTGTTCTTTATTTGTGCTTTGGGTTTCTCTTATGAGAGAGACCATATGCTTGTGTGTCTGATGTATTACACTTAACACACTTTCAAGGTGCATCCATCTTCTCACAAGTGACTCACATTTATCCTTCTTCATAGCAGGATAGCAGTCCATTGAAAATATTACATTTTTTTATCCATTTGCCTGTTGATGGACACATTGGCTGCTTCCAAGATTAAGCTGTTTTGAATTATGTTGCAATAAATATTAATATGCCTGTATCACTGTAATATGACGACTTTAATTCTTTCGGGAAAACGCCTAGTGGAGGAATAGCTGAGTTAAATGGAGTTTCGACTTGTACTTGTTTGAGGAATCTCCATACTGATTTCCACTGTGGTTGTACGAGTAGTTTACACTTCCATCAACAATGGAGAAGGGTTCTTTTTTCACCACAGCCTCTCCAGCATTTATTATTATTTGATTTCTTGATGATTGCCATTCTTTCTAGAGTGAGAAAATCTCAGTATTATTTTTAATCTGCCCTTCTCCAATGGCCAGTAATGTTGAATAATTTTTCATATATTAATGGTCTCTGCCCATTCTTTGTGTGCTCTTTCTAAATGTCTTCAAACTAAGATTTCTAATTTTACTGCATACTATATTTATGTGAATTTAGAACATCACAATGTAATTCACCTAAATTAATTTGAATGACATCCCTTGGAAAATGGCTCCATTGGCTTATTTACATGCCATTAACCTTTATAGATAGCAGTACTGTAAGAAACAAGTATTTCAGACTATCAATTTTGAAAATCTACTTGTGAAAATAGCACCTGGCCCCACATATAACCACCATGTCAACTACTTACTCAACTATGGACCCATCCTACATGCATCTTGCAAAATTGTCATCAACAACTTCTGTGAACAGTGAATGACAAAATTGTTTGGAAGACTAAGTGAGATTGTGTATACAAAGTACTTTCTACAATGCTTATCATGCAGTGGTAATTTTTTTCTTAAATTAAGAAAATCAACAAAACAATGAGTCAAGAATTTATGCTCTGATCTGTAGTGTTTGCCACATATCATGGTGTATATGTTGCCATTGTGGCTGAAGCCAGTCAAACTCAAGGCTACTATGGGGACACTTTCATATGTTGCTCTGTCAATTACATTTTCTCCTTCTGGTCATGTCATCTTGTCCATTTTCCCATTTGTAAAAAAGGAATCATAAAACCAGGAAGTTTGCCATAAAATTAAAGCAAATTCCTGGATGTGAAAATACATTTTAATGTGTTTTATGTGTTTCAAGGACCTTCAGCCTCATTGTTCTAAAGCTGGTTTAACAGCGGATAGGCTTCAAATCGCTAGCTGGGAAGCCAGAGGTGTCGCATCTCCACAGGAATGCCAAGTGTCAATGTACACAAAGCCCAGTACTTTCCATCCTATAAAAATGTGTTGTGGAGTGGTCTTGGGAGGTTAAAACTACTACAATTCATGATAACTGAATGGCTGACTCTCTACAAACATGTACTGAGAAAAAATGAAAATTAAAAACAGATTCAAGAGACAGGAGTAATCCCAAGTCTTGCCTCTCTGTACTTGGAAGACTTGTGTCTTTTTTGTTTTGTTTTGTTTTGTTTTGTGTATATGTTTGTTTAGTCTTTCTTTTCATTTTGTTTTACATTTGTGTGAGGACATGAAGTTTCTTGGTATTTTTATTTTCATTATTGTTATTTCTTTTGCCTTTCCCAATACTGTTGTACTATCCTCTCTAATCAAAGACTTCACTGTGAAAAGTTATTCAAAGCCTCCACAAATGCTCTGCCCACTGACAGTGGTCTCTCCCTTCTTACATTTGAACAGTCTCGGTGACTAAGACTCCAGGTCAGAAACTTGAAGCATCGTCTTGACGACTGCTAGTGCCTCCGGTTGCCCACAGCATCAGGGAACTAGCTATAAGACTGAACAATCAAAAAAAGAAACTAGCAAACTCTTACCATAGTAGAAATGCTGAAATCAGAACTTTTTGCAGAAGTGTCTTTTGATGATGATGAGGAGGAGGAGGAGGAGAAATTAGAGGATATGGGCAGAGAAGAACACCAGAAAGAATACCAAAGAACTACTGTTCATAGAAAGATGGAGACCAAGGTACAAGGAAAGAAAGTCTGAACACAGACAAGCACATATGATGGCATGAAATTTCATGTGTGCCAGATACAACCCTTACTGTGATCTTTAATTTACATGGGTACAAAGAAAAACAGAGAGAACTAGAAAATTAGTTTCTAGATATGCCTTATCCACTTAGGTCTCCTTAATAGGCTCAGAAGTGGATTCAAATGTTCGGCATTTGGTTCACAGCTTTTCACATTTATCTGAAACTAATGGTTTCACTAATTATTGTAGTTGTTGTTTAATCAAATACATGGAATTTTGGTGCTAAATTTCAGTGCAGATTACACAATCTGGTTTATCTTTGGACTATTTATGCCTTCTAGTCTTGAAAATCACTGAACAATAATCAGGCAAAAAAGCACATTTCTATACAAATATAACTAAACAGTTAAAATATGCAATATTAATGAAATTACTGGATCAATTATTTGAGAATGGAAAAGCACCTACAACTACATTTTCAAAGACCACATTTTTAAATCATGATTAGTGAGACACATTATTGAAACAAATTTGGTAGGTGTTTACTTCTGATCAGATCTCCAGAATCTATGTAGATGTCTGGCCTAATTAAGGTAGATTGTTCATTTGCTTATGGGAAATTTTGCTCCATTAAGGTAATTCTGTGGGGAATTCTGTTCTAAGAATTGGTAAAATTGAATTAGTGAAAAGTCTGAATTATATACTTTCTTTTCTTTAGAAGTAATTCAGAGATAATAAAGATGAATAAGATTGGACAAGGGGAAAAAATGAGAATCAAGACCTATTATGTAAAGGTACAGAATCCCAATGATGAATGTAACTGTATTGTTTACCTAGATTGTACCAATAAACTCAATAAAATAAAATCTAAAAAAAAAAAGAGTAAATGAAGTCTGGAAAGGAAGAAGAAAAGGAAAAAGATGGACAGATACAACCACCTCTGAAAAAGCCCCACCTCTGACCACATGAGACTCTGAGGGGACATTTAACCACAAGCTATAATACCTTCCTTCCTTTCCTTTCTACTGCACCTATAATGGAATTAGTAGCAGCCAAATGTGATTATAGAGAAAATGCTTGTAAAAGAGAGATTGCAACTAGCAAGTTATGAAGTTAAGACAAAAGTTAGTGAGACTACTGATTCAGGTCTAACCCAAGGCAACCATAGTGATGGGTAAGGGACAGGGTCAACCTAGAAAACAGCTGTAGGAGTCCAAGCTGGCCATTTATCTTTCCTGAGACACAGGAAATTTGACTCCCTAGCTGGAAAGGGCAATCAGTTATATTATGTGACAACATTGTCACACAATCATCTCTGTTTCTGTTACAGTGATATAAAGAAAAACACTGTATTTCCAATATCCTTCACTTGGTCATAACTACTCACTCTGTCAAGAGCCAGAATCCTTGAATGGTCTCTCCAGAAGTCTCAGCTATGTGGCTTTTCAAGTCTTCCATGGCAGTTTCAATGGCCCCTGGCTGAGTGAAGAAGAAAATAACTAATTTAGAGAAGCCAGAGCCCATTTTGTGATGATTACGTTAGAATATCCCAGCAACACCTATTCCAGACAGTTAATCAGGACAGAATAGTTTTTTGTTTTTGTTTTTGTTTTTTTGCCATTGCCTATTTATTGTAAGTACCGTCTGGCAGAGGATTTACTCTTGAATTCTTTTAACTGCTTTGCCCCTCGGGTAGAACAAAAATGATCCAAGTTCTCTTTTAAATTCTTTTTTTTATTTCTATTTTTAGGAGTATATGTTTGCAGTACATACTGATGACATGCAGCATAAGGAGTTGGTGCATGCACATAATACATCCCAATTCTTCCAAATTCCTACTTACAGTTTTTCCTGGAAGTGAAGATGTCCATTTTCAGAGTACCAGACTTTCCCATAATATGTTTATCAGGAAGTTCAAAGAATTTAGCAATTTATGCTTTCTTTAATCAAGCCATTTATCTCCTCAAAGAACACAAGTCAAAATAGCAGTTTTCTCCCAATCCTCTGGCCGTAAATTTTAGCTGACTCTGGGAGATGAAGTCATTCTTTCTTCTCTCCTCATGTTCTCCTTTCCCAGACAAGTTTATCTATTTATGCAACTAGATCTAGCTCAAAGTTTGATTGAGATCAATCCTAACAGTTTAGGATGATATCAGTCCTAACAGTTCAGAGATATTTTAGTTCAATGATTTTCACATTTCAGGGAAAATCAGAACCACAGATTTCTGGGACCATCTCCAGAATTCCCGATTCTATCAGTCTGGGTTGAGACTTTCAGAAATGTCCCCAGGTGACCCCACTGTTGTGAAGACAGTACTTATGAGAACCGTGAGCTACCTTGGTAATTACTCTCAGTTCTCAGTCAAGGCTCAGAACCACTATAGCCCATGAGTTATCAAGCCTACATCATTTTAACTGAGTGAAGAGGAAATTAGGGCAAGTATGGGAAGTAATTTCTCAAAGTTACTTTGCTAAAAATTACAGATAACAAACTCAAACCTCTCATTGTTAGGTCCATAGCACACTGATAACTTCATTCCCCAAACTGAGCTGTATCAGTGACCAGTAGATGACAATCTTCCATTTGTATCCTCCATGTAATAGAACTTTAATCCAGAAACCTACTAGTATTAACATTTTTGTAAATACTAATTCTGCAATTTTGTAAATACTAATATTCCTAGTCCTCCTAGCATGAGATCCTTCTCTCATATAAGTAATTGAAATACTAGCCTGTCTGGGAACCATTGAAATACCTCTTTCTCCCAGAGGTCGGGGTGGTAGTGGTACTTTCCTTTAGTGTGTTTTTTTCAAACTATGACAAATGTCTTTGAAACTTTTTGGGCACAATGTCGATTTGCTATGAAATTCTTATATGGGAATCAACAATGGGAAACATGAAATGATAAAGTGAGGTAACCGGTACAGCATTTCACCTGCTTAGCTTCTGCCTACACAGTTTTTCAACTCACTCCCCACAGTCTGCATCATCTCTGAATGGACAGGACAAGTCCTGAACAGAGTTGGGAAGCCTGATTTCATAGTCCAGATCTGTGATAGACTAATTCTGTGACTATAGCCAATTCCTGAGCCTCTACTTCTTCACCTGTGAGACAATAGGCTGGAATAAATAACAAATATTGAGCCAGGCTGATGATCAAAACTTCCTAAGAATCTTCACGAAAACATGGTCATAGCCCTTATCATGAGGGATTCTGACTGCAACATTTAAATAAGTTTCTCATAGAGTCCATCATCATAAGTGGGCTGAATGATTTCCAGGACTCTATCATTGCCTGCTGTAGGCCCAAGAGCTGGCAGAAAACTAATGTGGTACCCCAGGCTTGCTGAAGCTTGTTTGTCATGAAATCGGGAACTTCTGGGCCTTCAATCAAATCAAACACACCTTGAACTTCTGCTGACAGAGATGGCTGTGTCAACATCACTCATTTCCAGTGACCCCCCAGGCAGGGAAGACTGCCCTGGAGGGAAACTCCCTGTGATCCTGTGACAACTTTCCCTTCACTCAGCCTCAGCTTCCAGTGATGCTGGGTGATTCCATCAGCCCACTGCTCAAGTCCTCTTGAAAAGCAAGGCTTTCTTTGCTGACCCAATCTAAGTACATTTCTTTTCCTCTTTCTCTGTTCGAATAATTTTGGCATTGTAAATATAACTCAGTAGTGAGACTAATACATTTTAGAAAAAAAAATATTAGAATGGGTTGGAGAGTAATGAAATAATCCTGAAACATGCATTTTGTTGGATGTCATTATGCCAAGCACTTTGCCAAAAATATTAGAAGATAAATATAGTAATATAGTTTTTCACCAACTCACTCACATCCCCTATGAAAAGCAAATGCCACAATCTATCAAGTTAAAAAATGATCCACCCTTTGATCCAGATATGCCACCTCCGTGGAGTTAGATTTCAGAAATTCTTTCAAGTGCACAAAATGATACTCTCACAAAGTGTTCACTGCAGGTTCTTCATGGCGAGCAAATATTGGGAAGAAATCAGAATTATCTATGAGCAAGTTACTAGTCAGGTGTATCACGGTGTGTATAATAAAATGTAAAATGATGAGGGTATCAAAAGAAGGAAGAAACTTGTCCTAACACAGGTTTCAAAACATACTCTCAGGTGAAAGGAAAAGAAATCAGAAGAAAAAAAACCCCACTACTAGGGTAATAAGAAGAGCAGCTAAGAAACAGTATTTTTGTTTGCTTTTATATGCCTGAAGTAATGTTAGAAAGATCTACAGAAACTGTTAACAGTAGCTTCCTATGAGTGGGAAAAGAATGTGAAAGACACCTTTTCAAAAGTTAAATGCTAAAAATAAAGAATTTTACCAAATGGGTTGGCAGCTTATAGAGTTCTGTGGATATTCTCACTGTCTTACCCTCAGCTGCTACACTGGTCAAGCCTTTACAGGAAATGAAAGGGAAGTGTACCCCAAAAGAGAATTTTACTACACTTGATCTTAGCCAAAAGGCTGAGAGGTGAATTTTACTCTCCTTGATTTTTTTATCTGTTACTACAATAAGTTAACTTCAACCAGTGAGTATGAAAAAAAAAATTCAAACACTGTTTTGTGCTGAGACATCAGGATTTAAATTTCAGCCTTTCTCAAGGGAATAAGATCCATGATCAGTCATCTCAGCCTTTACATGTCTGTCCACTTGTTTGTTAGAGGGATAAAATAATAGTAACTGTAACAAAGCTAGTGAGAGATGCCATGAAATCCTGCCAGAAAAGTAGTAGTAAACACTGAGTAATAAAAGGCCACAGCATCATCGCTTTATTGCTAATACCAGAAGGGAAATAATCATACAAGAATTTAGGGATCAAGGAGTAGTGCAAATGAGCACTTGGATCTGAGCCTCCTTGCAATGAAGACAAATTGGAAAACACGATCAAGTAATAGGTGCACATTATCTGACATAGTGCAGTGAGCAACACCATTTCTTAGAGCCTAGCACTGAATAGTTTTGGTCAAAGCAAACCTACTCAGGGAATTGAAATACATCTGAGCTTGCTTCTGCATTTCCAGGAGCCGGACTAGCCCAGGGCCAGCAGTCACACCAATACCCATGTCTGTGCTAATGTCCGTGTAATGAGCGCCTTAGCGGGACAGTACAGTAAGACGAAGGAGTACAGAACGTTCCTAGAGACTCAGGTTTCTCCTGCAGCTGCCATCACAGCAAATCAATGATCCCTTTGCAGTGATCTCACAAGTGGGAATCAGCTGTTAATCAGATGAGATTTCTAAAGCCAAACTGCTCTCTCTTTACAAATGAAGTAAATGCTTCATATCACATTATGGTTAAAGATCTGCCCTCAAAAGGAAAAATCATCTTTGTCAAAATCTGCCAGAAATCTGTGTGACAAACTTTTCGCCCACTGAGATATCCATTTTCTAGAGCAAAATGAAGCTCACACGGGCAATAACAATAAAACTAATAAATGTATTTGTTCTCAGTGTGAGAGCAAGACACAGGGAACCCTATACCAAGAGAAGAGTAAAAGGGAGAGAGTATGAAAGCAAAATTAGTGTCACAGAAGCAATGACAACCTACTACACAATGGGAAGTCCTGAACCTACTTATTAAAGTCTCATTGCTCACAGTGGAACACAGGCTATAAAAAGGCCACAGGGAACCATTAATTAACTATTAAAGGATCAAATAGTTTTAGTCCCATTAGTTTGTATGTAATTTACATTCTCAAGTATAAATTTAGAGATAATTCCCCATCCTAAATCGCTTCAACTTTCTGATAAGGTATCTTCGAATATACAACCCTATAGGGAGTTTAAAAATATCTTTCCCCATGTGGAGCAAGTATTGTTCCTTTCATAAGAAGTTGCTTTTGAATATCAGTCCCTATAACTAAGACGATTATCATAATATACCTCCACTTATTAGCCTTGAGGGATGCTTTTGTTCAGAGATACGATTGGGCCTTTTTTTTTTTTTTTTTTTAGATATGTCTAACAATAATAGCAAATGAACTAAAACAGAAGGAAAAGGTTATCCATGCATACTGATAGCAAGTGGTTTAGACCGTCCTTCTACAACGTCTAATTCATTTTCCAGTGTCGGAGGTAGTGCAGTTTGGAAGAAAAGGTCAGAAGTTCCAGATTACAGGCCTAGAGTCAAGACTGTTGATTGACCTTGAACATCTCCCTCTGGACTCCAGGGGTTGGAAGACGCATTGCCAAGACCCTCCAGCTCTAAGCAGAATTCTCCTACACTAAGCCAGAAGGGTGCAGTTTTAATAAATAAATAATAGGCTGGAGGCCTGGGGGAAAGACTAACCAGTGAAAAACAGAAGAACTCTAAGGGGTGATACTGACTTCTTTTATGATCCGATATTCAGACATGTTATCGAACGTCTGAGATGATGATGATGCTAAAATTACCTTTTGTCAAGAATTAATTTCCATTTCAATATCAGTCAGCCCTTTGCAAATCCAGCTTGAAACTTTTCAAATGATTTTGCTTTGAGAAATTGATCGCCACCCTGCCACAGAATGGCACGGAATAACTTTCCTTCCCAGAGTAAACAGTACAAAGAGGAACCAATCTAAATCTCCAACAAGAGTTAAAGAAATTGTAGTATAACTCCATAGCTGGATATTGGGGAGCTATTAAAATGATTTTATGAAAGCATATGTTGTCACAGGAAATATATTTAGCATATAACTCCACTTTTTTAGATCAAATTATATATTTAAGAAAGGAGTAAGAAAGGGTACATGCCCAAATGTATAATAGCACATTCAGTACATTTTGGTTAATTTGGAGCCACGGGATTATGAGGCCTTTGATATTGCTCATCCACATTTCCCAATTTTTCATCAATAAACCACTTCCTGTGCAATGATTTTTAAAACATTAATTTTTTTTAAAAAGCTAAACTGAAAAATTCTCCCACTTGCTGCTTTTCTAAATTTTAAATTCTCAATCTGTGATAAATTGAAGTATTTGCCTCTTGCCAAGTCCAAGTTCACTACTTGTGAAACTGAGCAACAAAGTCCCTCTCTCTAGGCCTCATTTCCCTCTGAAAATGGTGAGTGGAGCAGTTTCTTGGCGAGCGGAGTGTAGTCTGTGGACAGAAAGCATCTGTACTGCAGAGAGTGTTCACAATCTAATTTACTTGCGTGGCAAGGATCAAGAAGCATTGGACTGCAGCCTCTCAGGTCCCCTTTCAACCCTAAGAAGCGATACTTTATGGGGACTTCATAGATCTGAACCTTTAAGTCTTGGCCACGTTACTTATCCCTTGGAGAAAAAGAAACTAGCTTCTTCTTTTCTGCGTAGATCCTATATAGCAATGTGTATATTTCCTGCTGGTGAGGTCATAGTGTCACTCTTATGACTAATTATAGAAACATGAACATAAACTTTTTTAAAAGCTCAGAAAGTATTCATAATATCAATGACACGTCATTTAGGAAGTGTCTGAGAAATTTTCTAATGTTTAGTTATTTAAACTTCCATGTAAAATTGGTATTTTACCCACAATTTGCAAGTGAGGGAATTGAAGAAATGGATATGCACATGAGCACACACACATGCACACACATGTGAGCACACACACACTCGTGCAGACTCCTTTCCACGTATTGAGGACAGGAGCAGACTTGTGGCTTACAAACTAGTGAAACTGGATCATCATTTTATTTATTAAAATGCTTGTGAGTATGAATTTCATTTAAGCCAATAGTTGTATTTTCATGACCCTCATTTGTTAATACAAACTCACGGTGCCCAAAAGAACTCATGTGTTCTCTTGGTCTAAAGGAGAATAAGTGGTGAAAGCCTTGGGAATCTCAAACGCAGAGTCACTGAAGAGTCTCCAGTTCACATTAGATTCACTAATAAAGACCAAAGATTTTCCCTCACAAGCTTTTGAGAACTCAAGCTTGTTTTTTATACATCTGATGAAGAAAATGTTCTTCTCATTGTCTGGAGTAATTTACTAAAAACCATACATTCAATTTTGCATAGTAGGAAAAGCACGGGACTTACAGTCAGAAGATTCCAAATCTAGCTGCAGCTCCTCTACTAACAGTATGTAACTTTGAGATAAGACAGCCCCTCTGAGATTTCAAAACATTCATTCTTAAGGCAAAGATGGTCAGTGTTCCCCTGCCTATGTACAGTGCTGTGCCAGGGGACAAAACACAAAGGATGGGAATTTATGATAGAAGACACACACAGCCACAAAAATAAAACCATGAAGAAAATACATCAGAGGTAGTGATTTTGGACTGTGTCATTTTAACTAAGCTGGAACTGCATTGTCTAGAATTCCCTTTCCTGTAGGATTCCAAATTAAGAGTTGGCCAAACAAGGTGCTTGTTCAAGATTCAAAAGACACAACAATTTTGCATAGAATTTTCAGCCAACTCTCATAATTATACCAGCTCCCTGCAATAAATCCTTTATTCTATATCACTGTGTTGCTCTCATAAAACCGTGACATCATCAGCTACAAAGATAATAAAACTCTAAAGGGTGTTTTGGTTTCCTTTGCAGCTCTAACTCACAAATGACCTTTGCACATCCAATAAAGTTCACATATTTTGAAAAACAAACCATGTCCTAGACACATACAAAAACACTCATAAACATACACACACACACAGTATAGCAAATATAGCAGTCATCGAAGTACCCAGTTCATAGGAGTCTATGTAATTTTAAAACACACACGCACATATAAATACTCACACACAGGCACACACATTGAGTTGCTTTAGTCAACACCTTAGCTTAAAGATATATTTTTCAGGCTACCAAATCAAGATTCACTGGTTAAAGCTTTGTTAACAGTCACAAATTCTTAGCCCCCATGTATTGATGATGTTAAGTTGAAAAATACACATGCATCTGAAACTGGGATAGCTTCTATAGTCACAAAGCACATGCCCCAAATTTACTATAAATTGATTGTAGCCTATAAATGTACCACTGCTATGTTAACAAGAAATCTGAAGGCCTGGGAAAGGAGATCAATAAATAGCAAAGAGAGCTTGGCAGAGAAAGATACTAGAAACTCAGGAAGTGCTCTTCACTTGGCTTAAATGCCAGAAGTTTAAATTATCATTTCTTTTTAACATTGAGATACGCAGCTGTTTACTTTCTGGACTCCATTGCACAGGTAAAAAAGTTTCGCTCCATTCTGCATGCAGATTTGAGGACTTAGAGAACTCTCACGTTGTAACACCAGCCCTCTTGAGATTCAGTCCATTCTTGGCAATCCTTTTCCAAGCAAGTAACAGCTCACAGCTCTACATTCTAGCTGCTTTGTTATAGCTTTTCTACCCTTAAAAGAGTAATCCAGTCCTTTGAAGCCAAATCTAGCAGGAACACAGGACTGACTAACCAAAGATCCAAACACAAGGAGGCAAGAAGAACTGTTTCTCCTTGATACAGTCTGGGTGATCAAAAGCAGACATAGCTTCTCTGAAGTCCGGATCCTCCACCTGTACAGTGAAGATGAGGCTACCCCCATCGTGACCATGATGACTATTGCAAGACTAAAAATGTGCAACTGCTGAACAAAACACATGGTACCTAGAAAGATATTAAGATTTCTTTGAAGGAAAAGTTTTACATACTATTTAATTGAACCAACAGTTTTACCCGGGTAACGAAGTACGTCCTTGCGGTATAAGGCTTGCGGTAAGGATTGGGGTGAAGTGTTGACTTAGTCACACTTGACTGTCGTGAAATCTGCCTGGGCTCTTGGCCATTGCCTGGGTCCTCCTCCTCCATGGACAGGTGTTCCGTCTCTGACAGCTGATCTTCTCCCTCTTGCTTCAGAGACACAGGCTGGAAACCTTCAAAACTCCCAATAGTTGACATTTCTTCAGCCTAAAACAAAGAAATAAATGATCCTGCCATTAGGGTTAAAAAATACAAAACTCTTCTGAATCCTGGCTGTGGCAAGGCAGGCTATAAGCAAAAGACATCCAGAAACCGACAAACAGCCAGCACGTTAACTGAACATGGCCACAATGTGTGAAGTTCAGCAGCACGGAGTCCTCAAGGCCACCCTGATCTTGCAGGCCCATTAACCAGAGGACAGAAGCAGTGACCCTCAGGAGAGAGCAAAGGTGCCTACAAATTGTTCTGTTTTCTCATCTTTAATTCCAGGAGACCAGCAGCTGACCAAGAGAAGAGCAATACTTTGTGATTGCTATATACATTCTCTTCAAAAGTTCAAGTACTTTTGCTTGAAAACCCGCCACACCGCAGGCTTATTCAGGAGGTAAAAAGCAATGATGATATATTTCCTTGTCTGCCTCCTGGGTAGTCGGAGAGCACAAGAACTCTTAAAACTGAGCATATTTTTAAAGCAAAAAAAATTAATGTAAGGAAATAATTTAGACAACTGTACTACGTCAGTGCCCAAAACTCATAGTGAAACTAAATATCCACCAGAAGAAAGATGGCTAAAAGTTATTATGCCATACTCTTAAGTACAATGTAGTCATTAAAAAAGTGAGCACATATTTTATCATGAAAAGATGTCCAAAAGGTATTCATATAGAAGCAGGTAAGTTATAATATGTGAATTATGTTATTCAACTTTGTTCATATCTTTGAGAAAGAAAGAAAACATCATGAATGTGTATATATGTATCTATGATCTGGCAGATTTAAAACGTGACAAGAAGTAACATAAAATATTAAAAGTTTTTATCACTAGATGACAGTATCACAGGTGCATTTTATTTCGTTTTCATGTTTCTGGATGCTAGAAATGATCAGAGATGATTTAAAATAACCCCAATCATCTGGGCTTGGTGGTGTATGACTGTAACCTCAGCAGGCTGAGGTAGGAGCATCACGAGCTCAAACCCAGGTTGAGGGGAACTCAGTGGTGTCCTAAGACTCTGTTTCAAAATTTAAAAATAAGTAAAAAGTACTGGGACTGTAGCTCAGTGCCAAGGCCCTGGGTCCAACCCCCACTACATAAAATAAAATTAAATTAAAAAATAAAATAAAAACTGCACGCTGATTTCTATTTTGTCAATACAAAGAAAAACAAACACAGTAGGCGCAGAAGCAGGACGTGTGAGCCGTTTGTCTACACCAAGCCCGTGTGTTCATACTGGCCTTGTCCCTGCAGTAGCCTGCTGGGCAGAAGGAGGCTTTGCTTCTATCCCTTCTTACTACATGAGTAATACTAATCAGCAATGTTAAGATTTGTGTCAGAAGGGTAGGAGCAAAGAGTACAGTGCAGATGTGGATACAGACGCAGCCGCATTGGCCAGGTCTGAATGTAGGACAAAACACTGTTGGCTGGGGGAAGTCACAGCAAAAAGCCTTCTGCAGTTCTCAGACTACTGTGCCTCATCTGATCCTAGCAACCCGGGAAGGGCCATTTACTCCATCCTCATCTTCCTGGAAGGGGCCCACCCCAAACACACTTGCATAGTTTCAGAAGCACCTGGACTGCCAAACACACTCTGAGTCCAGCCTGCCTGCAGGGACAGGGAACCTCACAGAAGGACTTCTTCCTCAGGTAGCTTTGAAGCAGTGCACAAAAGGCAGAGATTGGCAGGTCAGAATACAAGGAATAGGAAAGCAGAAGAAATACAGTGTATCTGTTCATGGGGTGGGTGCTGGGGAGGCACATGGGCCTTGCTGGCAGCTACCCACTGTATTTATTCAGGTCTGCCACCTCTGTTATAGTGGGTGTTGGAAGGAAATGCACTTCTAAAGTTCCTTGTAACCCGTGAAGGAAGGTTTGTGTCACTGGGGAAGGAACTCGGCTTCTGTATTTGTGCACTCTGTGAACACACGCCTAACAACAGACATCTGCGAAAGGCTCCTATGCCTGGAAAACAGAGGGAGGATTTAATTAGCACCACTTCCTTTCCCTCAGGCTGTCTCCTCTGGAAACACTTGGGAGCCTCTGAAACACTCTGAAACCGAGCTGTTTGAGATCCAGGAAAGAGGAAACTCTCAGCTCCATTTGCATTCTTACCGCCAGAAATAGTGGGAAAGTTGAGCCCAACAATCCCACCCCGGAATGACTGCAGCTCTGTGGCAGTCATGGGAACATCTTCGACAGATGATGAATAAAACTTGACAACTTTCCTGTCAGGAGAATACCCGGGCATCTGAGTATCCCTCTCCATTCCTCAGTGCTCTCCCCAGGTGATTTGTTTATCCCAGTTCAATAAAGAGTGCCTCGATACCCCTGCATAAATATACAGTACATTGAAATGCCATAAGAATATTAATACCAGTAACAAACCCAGACTAAATCAAACGTTTCGTTGCTTTTGCCTGGGGAAGTTAGGCCTTGCAACAAACTCATCAGAGAGCCATTTAAAACTCGGAGAGATCTTTGTTAAATGAGATTCCTTGGTCAATTTATCTTAGGACTGAGTGCCTGAGAGGAAAAGCAGCATAACTTCACAGGAAGTAAATAGTCAAGGGTTAGAAAAACACAAGGTCCATACTCCTTGATCACATCTTTTTATTCCTGGGAATTTGTACAATGAAAATTATGCTAAAGCAGGAAAAGACTAATATATTAATTGCTTGTGTAGAATATACACCTAACAGTCAAGGAGTGAGTAAATTTATTCAATTGATTTCCTAAAGACGTTAAAATGATAAACACAAAATCTGCAGCGGTATGGAATACAGATTATATTTTCTTGGGTTAAGAAAGCAAAATACAAAAATGTTATATGGCAATGGCAATTTAAGTTAAGACTGGAAGGAAAATATTTAGATTTATTGAAGTGGTGGGATTATGAGGGAATTTTTCCTTTAAAAAAATAAAAATTGTATTATTGCCACTTTTGTAATAAAAATAAAATGTGTGAATAAAAACCAAGTAAATTTATTTAAAAAGTACTGCTTTTCTTTTGGTCAGACAATAAAAATTCTGTATTCTTAAGTCACCAAAAAATTCAAGGCTAAATTTGATATAGTATTGGAGTAAAGGGCTTATTTCCAGATCGTGATCTAAGTATAACTATCTCCCTTTATGCATGACTTCTTTTATCTCCCTGTGACACTTCCTAATAATATTTCAAGAGACCGGGGACCGTAAATTATAGTTGGAGAGTTTTTGTCTAGCCTGACTGCTTCATTTCACAGACATAGGACCCGACCCACAGAGAGAAGGGACTCGCCCAAAGTCACAAGCAGGACACCAGACCTGTAGTCCTCAGGATTCTAAACTATTGTTCTGCCCTGTTCTTCAAGCTGCAGTGTTTAGAAGAAAGCAGAGAAATGGCATCAAACTTCTCCCCTGGCAAAGAGAAGACACTCCTGCGGCCAGTGAGAGGAGGCAAGTCAGCCCTGGGAGTAGAAGTAGAGCTCCCACTAACAGGCTACCTCTGCAGCTTCTCCAGCAGCCCCAGCCCAACAGCCAGTGCTAAAGACTGAAGACTTTTCCCTTTCTTTTTATCTTAAATTAACTGTTACCATTTAGGTATACAGTACAGACAGTTACATTCATCATTGGAATCTTGTACCTTTACATGACTTATCTTGGCTCTTATTTTTCCCCATTCCTGAGCCCTCCCGTTAGCCCCTCCACCATTCCCTGTTTACAAAGACATTGTTTCCATGTTTTTCCTTTTCACATATTTTTTCTTTTCCCTTTTTACCTTTCCCCTATGCCTCCCACTTCCTCTATTCTTTTAGACCTTTTCTTCCTATTACACAGTATCAATTATACATTTTGATCCTTATTTACAATTTCAGTTTTCACACCAGGCAAACTATTTGCTATTTACACATTAAGAGTATGGCCTCAATGTGCATCCACTTAGCTATAAATGTCTCTAGTTTCTCATTCTTTATGGCTGAATAGTACTCCATTTTACAAAAGAACCACATCTTCTTTATACAGTCTCCAGTTGATTGGCAATTGGGCTGTTTACAAATTTAGCTATTATAAACTGTGCTGTTATGAACACATCTGAGCATATATCACTGTGGTATGATTCTTTTAATTCTTTTGGGAAGATACCCAGCAGGGGAATACCTGGGTCAAATGGGACATCTAATCCTAATTCTTTGAGGAATATCCATATAAATTTTCTCTGTGCCTGCACCACTGTGAACTCCCAGAAGCAATGAAGAAGGGTTCCTTTCTCCTCACAACCCTGCCAGCATTTGTTATTGGTTGATTTCTTGAGAGCAGCCATTCTTTCTGGGGTGAGATGAAATCTCATTGTGGTTTTCATCTGCATCTCTCAAATGACCAGTGATGTGGAACATTTTTTCGAATGTTTATTTGCCACTATTACTTCTTTGTCTGAGAAATGTCAGTTCATTTCAGATGACCATTTTTGATTTGGGTCTTTATGTTTTGGGCTATCTGATTTTTTTGAGTTCTTTATATATTCTAGATAGTCTGAGGAACAGCTGGTAAAAAATTTTTCCCACATCGTCGGTAGTCTCTTAACCCTGCTTATGATTTCCCTGGCAGTGCAGAAGCTTTTTAAAAAGATGAGATCCCATTTGTTGATTCTTTGTGCTAATTTCCATGCTACTGAGGATTTCTTCATGAAGTCTTTCCCTACGCTGATATCTTCAAGAGTTCTACCTAAGTTATCTTCCAGCAAGTTTAGTGTTTCTGTTTTAGTATTTATATCTTTAATCCACTTGGATTTTATTTAGAACATGGTGTAAGCTAGGGGTCTAGTTTTAATCTTTGACAAATTGAAATCCAGTTTTTCCAACACCATTTCTTAAAGAGTCTATCTTTCCTCGAGTAAGAATAGTTGGTTCCTTTGTCAAAGTTGAGGTAGCTGAGTATGTCAGGAGTTGTTTCTGCATTTTCTAATCTGATCCACTGATCCTTGGGTCTGTTTCTTTGCCGGTACCAC